CCCAAGTTGACCACGGCTAAAGGAACATCATTAAAATTACAAAAATTAATGATATCTCTAATAAGAGCAATGTTATCAGAAATAGTCCGACCAGGAACACAGTAACTCTGGTCCTGGTGGACCACATTACCAATAAACTGTTTGAGGCGATTGGCAAGCAACTTGGCAAAAATTTTATAGTCCGTATTTAGGAGGGAAACCGGACACCAATTGGCTACATCAGAAAGGTCTCCCTTTTTGGGAATGAGCGTAATGACAGCTCGACGAAAGGTATGCGGAAGAATTCCGGAGCTGCAAGCGAGGGAGATAACAGAGAGAAAAATCGTCTTTGAAAAGAGGCCAGAAGGACTGAAAGAACTCCGATGTGAGACCGTCCAGGCCGGGAGTTTTATTTCTGCCAAGTTGCTTGAACGCTGCATCCAGTTTTTCTAGACTCGGAAGAACGTCAAGATCCTCCGAATCGGCAGAGTCAAGTCTCGGTAAATCATTTAAAGTTTGATTCAGGGAACCCTCGTCAGTTTGAGGTCGACTGTACAGATTTCGATAGAAATTACGCACATTTTTTTGTTTATTTGAACGGGATCGCCCGTAAGATCACCGGGGGGAAGACGGATACTCCACAGAGATTTAGACTGAGAGTGAAATTTTTCTAGGTTGAAAAAGTAAGAAGAACAAGTGTCAGCCTCATTGATATGTTGAAAACGGGCTGTGACGAGGGCACCCCGAGCTTCATTATTAAGAATCTTATTTAATTGATCTCTTTGTTCGTTAAGAACACGTTTGGTGTCGTCATTATAATTTGGCGCAGACAGAAGGTTTTCTATAGTTTTGTTAATCCTAAGCAGGGAGTCACTTGTTTCTTTAGCTACTTTCGACCTGTACATTTGGGTGTCTGAAAGTTTTTATTTGAATCTTGCAGAAGTCCCACCACGAGCAAATGTCGGGGAATTCATTTTGTCTCTCCCTCCAGCCAGTCCAAACGTCTGTTATCATTTCCCTGTAGGCCCGAGCGTCTAAAAGAGAGTTATTAAAATGCCAATAGGCGCTCCCTCTACAAGTGGAGGAAGGAAGCTTAATGGTGACGATCACAGCCGAGTGGTCTGACAAAGAACAGGGAAGAATGTTACACAAAGAGACAGAGGACAAAAAAGTAGTGGGTAGATAAAAACGGTCCAGTCTGGCTTTTGAAACGTCATACTGGCTGGAGGGGTTAACTCTGTACCAAGTGTATTTTTGTTTATCAGGGTTCCGTCTGCGCCAGACGTCGTACAAGGACAGTTTGTTTTTTGAGAGCCAAGGAAATTTTGGGGCGATGCTCGGTTGGCATACCTAAGCGGTCTAACTCAGGATCAAAAGTACAATTAAAGTCACCTCCGACTATAATGACACCGTCACTGATGGGGTAGCAGTGCTTGTAAATGCAGTCGACGGCTTTTAAGGTTTCACTATCAGATTGGGGGATGAGAATATTGTACAGATAAAATATGGCGTTATTTCAAGAGATTTTAGTGTAAGTAACATGTCTGTCATAAACAGAGGAAGATTTAAGGACAGAGATATTATTTTTAATTAGAGTAGTGACCCCGGTTCCACGCGAGGGGCTAGGATTTCAGTAAAAGTTTTGATTTTTTGGGCAATTCAACAAGCTGCCTCATCTTTAGACAGAATACACACCACTTTGTGACGAGGTTACTGCTTGTAAACAATTAGAAAATATGTTGTTCGTGTGTTTGTGTCAATTTACATGCTGTTACGTAATAATAATAATATTGGAAAAATGCCTCCTTTGAGGGCTTTAAAAGAATTTAGCTGTGGTGCTACTTAATATCTGTTGAATCAGGTTTTGTTTTAACTGAAGTTTAGATAAAGCAATTGAGGTAGCAGTGAATGTGACTCAGGAGTTCTTAAAGATTAATAACGAACAAAAGTTTAACGGATTATTTTATCTAATTTAATTTTGGTACTGTTATTAGCAAATACTTGTTAAAACATATCAGTTGATTACATTACGATATATGTATGTCCATTGTAATGGGAAACACAATGGATGTTTCAACTTGTTTAGTGATATTCGAGGTAAAATTAAAATGAGCATAAACTATATTTGAAAAAATAAGGAATAACAAGACTCCTGAACCACAAATAATAGCGATGTAAAACCATCCAGGCAAATTTCTTTCCCTCCTGTGTTTCCGTACTGCTGTTCCATAAAATAGCTCTACAGTCCTATCCTTTGTTCGACTCGTGTAGTTCGAAGTACATTTGGTAGCGATAGGAGTTAATTCCTGACTTACTGACAATTATACAAACCACCACTGAGCTTAGAAAACGTGCAGCTGTGTCGTCTAGACTTGTCCTTGTACGTATTACTGAGGTTAGTTTCCTTCCTCCCGCGTCCGGTAAGGCTAGTTGTGATTTTGAAAACAGCTGGTTATCACGTTTCCTGGTGTACACTTTCCACTATAAACTCTACTCCAACACAGGTTGTCAGCATATATTTGCCCACACAACATACAACTATTCTGCTGGCATGTGGAAGTGTACCCAAGAGTCACGGAGAAAATTGGTGTTTCATTTGGAACCATCGACATCATCTGTGACTACCTGCATGTGTTGTCAACATCGGAGTTTATTGATAAAATTAAGCGGTTAAAGCATACGACTTCATTTTTTTTGACCTCTCCTTTCGTCAACGCTTACTATGTGTGAGTTTGTAAAATAGAGGTTACAATTATTAATGTGGAAGGGCGAAACAACTGTCAGCATGTCTTCAATCAAAGGACTTATAACGATACTAGTTCTCACTGCTCCATTCGTATTCGTGAAGGTAGGCATGTACAAAATTTAGGCAGACATTCGATTTTTTTTTTAATTTTGGGAGACAAATTAATTTGAGAAAATCGGAAACTAACTGAATTACTTCCACAAAAGTTACTAATAATGAAACTCAAATAGTTAAAGTAGCTTATTTGAATAACAAAAGGCAATTTTCTTAAACCATTGGAGCATACTATGCACTGTGGGCCAGAAATCATAGCTTGCATGTTCGTTGAGAGTTTGGGGTGGCAACTTACTTTTTGCTCTAATAAATACCTTACGTACTATGAATCACTGTTTTGTCTGTTACAATCCATATGTTTTGCGCTATAATGTGAAAAAAAGGGTATAAAATGCAAAAATGCTTGTGTTTTGTTCGCCTCCGCTTTTTCAATGTGTCGATAGTGATCGCTGTCTCCAACCTCGATCATTTTTCAATTTGAGCTCATGAAAATACCACCGTTGCACCTGGGGACGAGTGGCACTCGAAGTGAACATGGCGCCGTCCTTGAGCTAGGCGTTTGCTGTGTTTACGACTGATCAGCAAAAATTTCACAATTTAGAGAGATAAGTTGGTGAAAAAATAAGACATGTTGCGAGCAGTGGAAACAGTTTGATAGATAGGAGAGAGATGCTGCTCTGAAAACGTAGAGATAGCGAAAAACGAGCAACTTGACGGGGTATGGTTTCTCGGCCTTCCAAACATGCCAAGGTTCCATGCCAAGCACATCGCATGCCAAGCGTTTGTCATTCATGTCAATTGTGCTTTTTCTTCGTGTCCTTGGGATCTAGGTTTATCTGTGTCAGTTAAAATTTTAATCATAGTCCTGGCTCTGATTAGGAAGCAGATGCAATTTCAGGAAAATAGAAATTATTTCTGTAATACGTAGGCCCTATTTCTACAGAAAAAGTCAAGGTGAATTTTTTTGGGGGGACGGGATTCCACAGCATTTCCGTGCAAATAAAGTTATAACACTTGGTAGTCATTTTCCTAGTTCCAAATCTTTCTTAATTCTGAATCGTTTAAATTTAAAACCTACTGAATTCTTTTTGTGCTGTTCTTCAGTTCGCATTCTGAGACAAGTTCTATTTGAAAGGGAAAATATATTTGTGCTCAAACTTTCTGGACTAGGCCAGATTTCTAGTTCACACTTCGACATTTCAGTTTGTTAAAATCAATGGAGCCAAAAAAAATTGGCAACAATTTCCAGGGCGATAGGTCACCCACTATGTATGATTCCAAATACTTTTTCGTATTCGACAGTCATTTACACGTTTACTGCTAATCAAATGAATTAAAATTTCTGTTTTCAAAATCGGCTGAAAACTGAACACTTTGTTTCCTAAATTTGGATCTCACGTTAAGTGCACGCAAATATAGGTTCCTTACTAAGTCAACTAAACTGACCTAGCAGAAATGTCACGTAATGGGTTTGTCTGTGCGCGGCGTGGGGATGGTATTGTTGACAGCTTGCTGTACAGCTGATAAAGATGAGTGACAGCTTTTATTTATGAACTACTTTTCTCTAAGAAATTCTCTGATGATTTTAAGATTGGAGAATATTGGAGGACTGAGATGAATGGTGATTGAAGCACGGAGAATTTTGCAGGATTGAGGATGGAAAGTGTTTTAAAGGCTCGAGGATCTTGGAGGACTGAGGATGAATGCAGTTTTTGAAGTTGGGCAATTGGTGGTTTTTTGGAGGAATTAAGGATGTGCCTTAGTAAGAAATCCCTAATGGCTTAGGGTTAAGTTCATCAGTTTATACTTTTATCAAAGTATATAAGCACTATGCACTACACACAATTTAGGCTGGTTGGGTCTTTCTCAATTTAAATCTTCTGTTTACAGTTAAACTGGATTCAGTGCATGAATTCGAGTGAAGGATTTATACAATTGATTTAATTTCACTACCGGTATTTAAAGCGTCTACTTCTGAGTTTAACATATATAAAAGTAAACATATACAGTGTACATCTACCGTTTGTACATTTTATTTCAACAAGTACATATGTATTTCAGTGACATAAGAAGTGTTGGTTACTATTCAGTGAAACCAGTAACACAAATTTCTTAGTCACGTGGATTTTAATCAAGCACTTGTAACTACTCTATCGCAAAGGAGTTAGATCACAAACCAAACAAGATTGCCTATTAACATGTGCAACAAATTTACTTGCTTTGAAAACAGGTACATGCAATTATGCCAGTTCGTCTTCATATTTAATTTAAGAAATAAAAATGATTTAAATTACCAAAAAAAAGATTGTTATTGGTTTCTAATTAAAAAAATTGTCAACCCTGAAGCAGCCAAAGCAGAACATGATGTCAATCATTTAATTGAAGTTGCCAAGGGCTCAAAGTCTGGCATGATATATCTGGTGTGTTTAGTATTCAAATGGCTTATCGAAGTAGCTATGCTACGTTTTTGGTGTCATTAAGCGTCAACAGTCAACACATATACATATTGTAAGCATTAAAGCATTAAAACTTCCCCTATAAAGATTCAATAAAAGTGGTTAATCATATTTAAGAGACTCTAGCATTCCTCCATTGTTTAATAGAAAAGTTTTTCGCAATTTATGTATATAGGGACTCAATTTTTCTATGACATCTACATGAAAACAAGATGGTGGCCAGTCGGGCTGCACAAGCAAGCCCAATCCCCCCCCCCGCAAAAATATATTAAATAGTAATATTTCTTTTGTAAAATGTTATAAATAGTATCTGTGCCAAAGTTAAAAACATTCAATGAACAAATGGGAAAACTGTGCCCCAAATACTGGTTTTGACCAAAAACGAGCAAAAATGGGATAAGCACCCTCTTGTGGTGACCTTGGGAGCAGTCTGACAAGGTGGCAACAGGCAGATTAGAATTCAGCACTTTCATATTGACCTAGAATACATGTTTCCATTTTGCTACTCGAAAGTGAGAACGGAACTCGAGTTCCAGTGAAGCTACGATTTCTGGCCCATAGTCTACTATAGCTAGTATTTCAGTGTCCTTTAAGTACGGCCTCCACTATTCACAAGGTCCACATCGTAGGTTTTAGTTTCGTTTGGTTTTTTATTCAGTGTTTTGGTTTGTTTGTTTCTTCTTGGACATCAACATGCAGATGCCTCAAATTGCTGTACGCTGCAGAAGGCTGTGCCAGTTATTATAAAGTTTATGACACATATCAAGTGAACAGGGAGTATAGGTACTTTGGCTCTTCCCCCGCCAGGAAAGAAACGCCCGTAGTTTGTTACAATCTACAAGATGTGTACTTTTGAAAAGATCTAGTTTTAATAAAGGTGGACCAATATCGTGTTTTTCTCCTCTTTCGCAGATTGAAGGCACTGATGCAACTTCATATTTACCCTTGTTCCAGAAGCACCGTAAGTCTTAACGAGAAAACCTGAATAAGTTATCCAAGCCTCCTTGTATTAATACACCTGATTTTTAATCCAAGCAAATTATCAAGGAGCCATCAAATTTTTAGCTGCGATGTTTCTATTCTCTCCAGTATTTCTACCTACCTATTTGTTTCCTTAAATAAATAACTCAATTTCATAGGAAAGACTAAGGATTACAAATAAAAAGGCCAATTGGACCTTGATATTCTGCATATTCAATTATATATGCACCTTTGTTGGTCTCCCATTGGTAGTTAATCGCAAAGGCTAGGCCTACATTGGATCGATGCTCCACATTTCTCATTCCTCTTTCCCTGTGTTTCTGTCTATCCTTTCTTTTATTTCTGTTTCTTGTCTGTCCTTCATGCACATGCAGGTCATCTTCTTTCGAAGCTATCGTACTACGAGGTAGTCAGACCACATCGGTCTACGCATAGTGGTGACTTCTTGAGCAACGATCTTTCAACAACACAAGAAGAAAACCAAGACATTTTCAGTACAGCAAAGAAAATGAGTTTACGCGGTGATGCCTTCCACTCTCGATATGCCAGGTCATCCAAAGATAAACCCCAACTCAACCAAAGTCAAAACATTCATTTCAGAGTCAACGCTTTTGGAGAGAATTTCTTATTGAACGTAACAAGAAATCGATACCTTGTTTCTTCTGGATTGAGGGTCGAGCGATTCAACGAAAACGGAACGATTGATACTTTCAGACCGGACATCCTTTGCTTCTACGCTGGCATTGTTGCCGGGCAGCCAAACTCCTCAGTTGCCATAAGTAACTGCAAGGGATTGGTAAGATACCGCATGAAAATTGAACCTGTGTTTATTTTTTGTTGGTTGAATACTTGTAGACAAAGTGACCTTTCCTGTGATTCATCATAATCTTAAGATAGAGTGACTTACCAAAGTGGCAATCCCGATAACTTTCATATATTTATATTACGCAGTGGCAAGTTTTACACTGCCGTTCCCCCCCACGTTTCAAATGCATATTTCTTCAACTCTTATCGGTCGTAGAATCCATCGGTGGATCGTTCGTCGAGTCAGACCTTTTTACCCCTCCCTCGTTCGTCTCTATGCTAGTTTGTTCGCCCGCTTCGAACAACATAACTTTTGTTCTATGCTGTTTGAGATATGAACTTGAAACTTTGAACTCATTCTACCCAGTGTCACGGTCTAATTGTTGGCGTGCTGGGATTTCCGGAAAATTGCACCGGATAAATGAGTACCTTGGGGCAATGTGCCATTTATCCGGTGAGCTGATTTTTCCAGTCGCACACGTAGATATACGCTAAGGGTCTGGTTCCGCAGAGGAGACTAGAAGATCGGGAAAGTAATAATTACAGGACTTGTTTTGTCCACATAGTCTTCACACCAGAGCCCAACCAGGGGTATAATGTTCAGTATTTCCTGTAAATACAATAATCATAGGCCCTATATCAATGCTAAATTACTTTGACAGAATGATCACAACAAAGAGTAGGCGCTTTCACTGTACTCTGCAAATGCCGCTTTCATAACTAGATATAGAGCAAGATAGTTACCCTCCGGAACTGCAAGGTCCGTTGTCCGCGGCGCTCAGATGACGGACCCCACATTTTTCGGGGTACAAGACAATCACCCTGCTCCTTGCCCGACTTTTACATGTCAAAATGTTGGGGTGCGATGGGTGTTTACTTATTTGTATGATTATTAAGTGTTTAAAATTAAGGGTTGCAAATGCTGGGGACGGGCTTTTTTTGGATGTTTGTCCAGAATGCACACCGCCTGTAGCCTACGTGAGGCAGAGTTTGGACGAAAGCTTACATGCCGTTATGTTGTGATGTAGGAACTCAGTACACGCATACAGTGAACCAAACGGGATTTACTGCGTATACACCGTTACTCCGGATCCTAAGTTGTATGTATTACTCTGACGGTATGATTTCGTAATCGAGGATGAATTACAAGCAATCAAACCTGAAAATTGTAACCTGTAAATATCCAGACGTCATCTGGCTTTTGCGACAAGTTTAAGTCTTCATATTTTCTCTTGTATTTACTATCACCTTTTCTTTGTTTTCACTCAAAGTCGGAAGTGCCTTGTAATTTAAGATTTCAGATTTCAAGTTGTTTAATACAGAAAATAATTGTATACGTACGTATACAGTACGTGGAAGACATTCTAATGGATCCTCCGACTCATGCAACACACCTCTAGGATCAGGAATCAGCATCTTCCGGTCAATCCATCTCTCAGGGCCTCCTGTATCTGGCAGTATAGCATATAAGTCCTTTGCATCGTTGGTTTTTACAACAAGATACTGATCGCTCCCAAAGAGGTCTTCTAGCTTGTGACGCTTTAGTGAATTCACAGTTTTTCAACGGTACTGGATTTCCGACTGGCAGGGCAGATGCATGGATCCGCTTATCATATTAGCAATCTTGTATGCATGCTGAATGAGTTCAGCCTGATGGGCAACTGCATTGTGTATTCCCAGCGTTTGCAAGCATTACTTGAGGGTGTACGTGGCGAACCCAGTTACACTATGAGGTGTCGAGTTACATATGAAAACAAGGTGTGGCAAGAGCTGGGGTCAGTCACGCCTATTTTTCTGATCAAGAGAATTTACCACGCCACAGAGTGTTTTGTTAAACCTTTCCGTTTTTTTCCATTGCCTTGACCGTGATAAGAAGTGGTGCGTATTTTGCAGATACTTTACAAGTTACCGAGTTCACGTAGGCTACTAAGGAACTCTAAAAATTTCGCCCTTGGTCTGTATGGATCTGAGCTTGCACGCCATAGCTTACAGACCATTTGTCTAGCAGTACCACGGCCACTATTACTGCAGTCCGGTCTTTGCAAGGGACTGGTCGCTGAAAATTTCGTGAATCAATCGGTTATCACCAGGACATCTTCATAGCCACAACGACCCTTGTGAAGTTTCAGGAAGTCGAGTGTGATTCGTTAAAGAGGCCTAAATACCAGCAGGTGCCGCATGGGGGGGGGCGGACGGTAGGAGTAGGGGACCTTAGCTGTGATGAAGTGAAAGCAATTCTTTTGATGCTCTTGAATCTGGTCTCTCATTCTCGGCTAAAAATAGCGTCGCTTTATGAACATCAGTGTCCAACCGCAGCCCTGGTGTCTCCACCGATCATGACCAGCTTCGATAACGGCCATTCATAGTCGACTTGGTACTAAAAGCTGAAACACCGGACCCAGGCCGGGCTCATCAGGAACTGTACATTACCTTATCCTGCTCTACAATAAAGGGCCACTCTGTCAGCCTCCCTTTTAGTTCAGCATACTCCGGCTGGACACACGTCTCGGCCTAGTCAGGTTCCCAGCGTTTGTCCCATCCGTCTCAGACTTCCTTTAGGATCCGGTCCTCTTTCTGCATAACAGAGAGCTCAGCATGTGGGTATGAGGGGAGAACTGACGAGGTACTCTGTTCGACAAGGAAGCTACAAAGATTCCACAAACTGGGGCAGAAGATAGGTTGTTACTTTAACTGCCTCTTTTGGTGGGTTGCGACTGAGCGCATCAGCACATCTGTTAAAGCGGCCCTGCGATATTTAATCTCGAGGTCAAATGGAGCCAGCTGGGCCACCCAACGTTGCGCAGTTGCTCCCAAACGGGCAGACTGCAGGTGCGCTACTGGACTATTGTCAGCCCACGCATGTTTTATTTCTCCATGATCCAGGCAATCGTATGTCTACCAAGTAGATAACACTGGAACTTTTCAGCCAATGCCCATTTGAGGGCAAGTAGCTCCAGCGTGAAGCTCGTTCTACTTTACTAGGATCGACAGAGACCCCCCATCACTTACCTCATGCCATTTCTGGAGAACGTACATTTAGAACCTTTCAACTTGAGACGATGTTGCTCTAACCCCCTGAACGTCTCACTTAAGCGCTCTAAGTGCTCCTCGAACGTTGCTAAAAAGACAAGTACGTTATCCAAGTAAAGTACAAGTTGAGACAGATTAGTGTCACTAAACACTAGTTCCATTATTCTGTGGAAAGTGTTGGGATTGTTAACGAGGCCTTGTAGTAAGCGGAGGAATTCATACAGCCCCCATAAGACTCTGAAAGCCGTCTTGTGCACTGAATAATTGGGATGCATCGCCAGTCGGAAATAGCCATGGACTAGATCAATTGAAGAAAACAGCTTAGCACCTCCTAAGGCCTCAAGGGTTTCTTCCACTCGAGGAAGAGGAAAGGCATTTTTTAACTGTCTTGGAATACAAACACATATAATCAACGCAGAGGCGAATTTGACCATCTTATTTCTTCACAAGGGCAATCGGGATCGCATTTGACTGAATGACTTGCGAGTAATCTTCCGGTCCAGAAGATCCTGGAGCAGCTTCTTAATCTCAGCCCTTTTCACCTTCCCCCTTTCACTACAAGCTGACTCAACAGATTGCAACCAACAGAGAGCTAAGGACCAATCTTCATCGCCCATACATCGCTCAACACAACTCTTGTTCTGGGCGATAGCCCTTAGAATATTACATATATGAATATGATACGTTGATATGGAAGATTTATCGGACGGCTATTGGTAAGGTTAATCTCATGCGGAATTGAGTCATTATACCCACCATACGGGTGCAAAGAGAACGCATTCATGTGTGCTTCAAACACTTTTGCTACAACGACTGCCTCATCACTACTCAAACCATTAATGGTCAAACCTGGTGGCAAAAGAAAGCTCCGCCCATCGGGGTACGCGGACGTCTCTCGTGATGGCTTTGGATTATCATCATGAACCCCATTTATTCTTGAGGAAGGATCCTCAATAGCATAACAATCATCAAAAACTCTCCATCGTCAGACTCTTCCATCGCAAGTTAATAAACAAAAATGCTTGCCCCTTCATCATGAGGGGGAAACCTCAATTTTGTCGGACATGCCCACAATGCGTGCCGTCGCTATATTGATCCCTGCTTGGATATCGAGAGGATCTGAGATAGAGTCTGCTATGAGGACTGGAAAAGGTGACTCTCCAAGTTGCTGAATACCCTCTACAATCTCACAAATGGCTGGTGCATTGGTCTAAGTTTGTTGCTGTACGAAACTACGCATGAGTGCTGTCAATTGTTTCTGACCCTCTGACAATCCAGCCAATAACTTCTGTTCCTTGTTTCCGCGCGCAACTGTGCTCACTGTATCGATAACCACATTATTGCTTGCTTGACCGACTGAATAATGTTCAATTCTCTGTTCTTTATTTTGACCATCATCGGTATCCCGCAACGACTGAAGGGCTAGTTCACGGAACGCAAAGAAAGAAAGTCCTGCCTCATCACGGCCTATCTTTCGCAATTCTCTTTTAATTGCAGTGTCTCTGCTTCCCCGAATGAACTGCTCCTTCAGGGGGCCGTATCGTGATTGTGCAAGCGCGGATTTTTCACTGGCATTAGTCGATGCCGACTCCATACGGTCATATAGTCTGATGAGAGCACGGCTAAAATCAGCGAAAAATTCGTCCTCGTACTGGTTTCTCGAATAAAAGGCACAATTGAGTGTTTGCACCGTCTCGGGATGCCCGAACCTGTGCCTTAGTAAGGCCAGCACATTCTTAAGTGTGTTTTTCCCATCTTTGGGGCAACAGAGGATTTCCTCTCTCGCCACGCCCCCTAAGTTGTCAATTGCGACACTAACTTTCTCTTCCTTGGGGAGGTCCAGTTGTTGGTTATACGTCTTCAAATCATCAACACATTGTTTCAGGGCTGGGTCATGAGACTTCTTTGGAGTACCACAGAATTTAGGCAGTTTCACAGTAAAGGCCCTTTGATACTTAAGATTCTGGAAGGCATTAGCTGATGTCTCGGCCAGGGCTTCATTGGATTGTTTAATTACATCTGCTAAGGAGGTCTGACGTGGCCATGGATACTCTTATGTCATATGTGCTTACATCGCACGGCTAAAGAACGACTAAATATACTTAACACTCAAAAAATTCAACAAATATACCAGCAAAAAGGGTGTAAAATATCAATCAATTCAACAAACAATATAAAAAAAGACTATTACAGCATGATCCCAAAATATGTACAAGTGCTAAATCTTAGGTGGGCACAATGGAATTCTCACCAGAAGATAACATTTTACAATCATTACAGCTTTAGTAAAATCTACTGCATTATACGAGTGTTGGGGATCTTTATAAGGTTTGATTTAGATTCTTTTTCCACTTTTAATTTCAGATCTTACCGACTGCAAGAACGTCTTCTAAATACCCCCCCCCCGTTGTAAGTGCGAAGAAATGGCTTTAACAAGTTTAGGTTTCAGTGTAAAGATGACATCATTCTTACCTATGTATAGGCGCAGAGAATGCGCGAGACCACTGTATAGGTACCCGTGTACATGTACATTAGCATTAATTTGTGCGTAATTTCCCATGTAAATGTACATGTACATACATGTTTAAGGCAGCGCGGGACTGGCGCAACTTTATGTTTTGTCTAGGTGTGCCATACCGCGGCGCGATGTAGGCAGTCTCGCAGAAGTCTCCAGGCAGTCTGTAGGCCTGATTTAGCGAGTGAACAGCGCTCTTTGTGACCGCTCCTTTTGTGTGCGCTACCGCCGAAAGTCTGCGAGCAATTCTATAACTGGTTCCGCAATCTAAGCAGTTAGTAATTGTCTGCATTAGTCGACTTATTGTGTACTGTTCTTAGTAGTATCGGTCAGAAAGGACCGTGGGTAGAACTATACTGTGTGGGTAGAGTTGTGGGCAGAGTTGTGGAGGGTTGTCCGACGGTCACCGTCTAGAAAAGCGGTGAAAGACTGGGCAGCCAGAGTGTCGCCAGACGCCCTGAGTTACCCGTCAGTTTAGGTTAGTTAATTAGCACAATCCTCCGATATCTTAGGTGCAGTAACCCGAGTGAGGAGTGTGGATTGTGGAGTGCGGATACAGGTAAGAGGTTGGGGAGTGCGGATTATTTAAATGTTCTTTGTAATTGCATTTTGTGTTATTATTCTTTCGTAACTCTTGTATAAAATATGTAATTCCAATTATTAAAATATAAGCGATTATATATAAAGAAAAATATATTAAATGAGTTTAGTTGATCTTGCCAGTAATATCTTGTTTACGCACATGCTCAGTATTGTGTCATCCGACCGGGTCACCAAATTAATTACCAATCAGTGGTATATTTCCGCCAAAACGACTGCCCGTCAAACTTAAGGGCGAAGGCAGATAGTTTTAGGTCAGGTGACTTTCCCCACAGTTGGAAACAGTTCGCCCAGACTGGGGAGACCTAGGCTGGCTCGTGGTAATAAAACGCCACGTATTAAGTAAGCCATTTAGTCTACTGCTGAAAGAAAAACATTTATGTGATGCCTTCATCAACTCGGGAAAGGAGTTTACAGTAGACACTGACACAGCAAAGCTATTGGAGGTCTTTGTCTGCCGCATGCATGGAGTAGAAATAGATGGATAAATGCATGGATAGGTGTTCGAAGAAGGCGAGCTGAAGATAAACTGGATGAGGGATCCTCCAGCTTCTCAAGAAATTCTCAACCAAGTGAACTGCTCATGCAACTAAAAGTCTAAGTGCAACACAAGATTGTGTTCCAGCAAGAGCAATGATGTTTCCTTTTCAGTGGCAACGAAAAACTGTGATTAACGACTACCATTTTACCAATCTGTGTTCCGTAACCGATTGTGCTCTTGTACACCGAAAGCCGAGGCAGCGTTTACATCTCCATCGGTGTCCGTCAGTATGGTACGGCTGCAGCTGGAAGCGGTAGGCCTCAGCACCGCGTATTTCAACTAGTAGTACGTTTGCATCGCCCTCAAGGTCATCTGGTAGTTCCAAATCTGATAAATCTTCGTCGCTGGCCTCAGATCAATCAACTTTTTTCCTCGTGAACGCCTTGTTCTTCTCAGACGTCTTCGTTTTTTGTTTGTTTTTGGGGACTTTCGCAATGTACATGTACAGCGTGCGCCGACTAAGCACCACTGGTACGTCATCGTCCCTGCATGCATTATGCAGGATATGCAAATTGTTGGATGACGACACAGCCGTTTTCGCAAAAGGCTCGTTCAACATGGACAAAAAGTCCTAAAACTCTGCTCTCTTTCAGACTGAAGAAAACATTGGAAATGTTTTGTTAGCAAATATATGTGAAGAATTACAACAGTACATGCTATTTGAGGGACAAAATCACAATTCTCAACTTAGTACAACTTTAAAACCCAATCTGTCAGCAAGGTTTATTTTAGAACGATGGGACACTAGATATGACTTTATGAAACTATTGAAATATTCGTCGTGGCGGGATATTAATTTAACGCAGCGGCAAGAGTGTATAACTCGCCACAGCAAAACTAGACTTGAATCAAGTCGGACTTACCTTGCTCTCCCCCGTCAGCCACTCCTTCACATAACAAACGGCACATGGTCGTCTTGCTGGGCTCGCATAACCTCTTATAAGGCAGCCCCATTTGATAGCTTTGCGGCGATACCCGGCGTCATCGTGTAAGACTGTACAACGAGAGTCACCAGTCAGTACAGTCTAACTTAACGGATCAGCCTATCAGAACCCCCATCGGTGAAATGTAATTATTCATTCAAAATAGTCGGATTCGGAATTTCTACCAATCAATGTAGTCAGACTTATAGACTCGCTCATATAACAGAAGTATGAATTATGTAAAAACCAGTTCAGCGGTTGGATTGGCTGCTACCTGTTTTGGTAGGTGAGCTGATTCGCCCGTGAACAAACGGCTGGCAGATTTGTCAAGTCGGGATTTTGAACTCACAGTAATAAGTGGAAGATTCCCTGAAAAAAAATTTGAGGGTAAAATTTCTTTTTAAACCAAACATTAAGTGGAAATCTTTAAGTTCGATACTTACTCAATTTGTAACTGTTACCCTTTGCGAACTGTAGGGGAGGGCTGGGCAAGTGGGTCATCGGGGTAACTTCCCCAATCTTAAACCAAATTTAATTTTTTCAAAGATTAAGCTCAACATAAATTAAAGCTCATGTGAAAAAATACATAAACTTGAAAAAAAAAACTTCAAATCATGATTTAGGATAATAAAAATGTCAAAACCAAACAACTCCACACCGAGCTTAACATTCCCAAAACCAGAAATTTTTCTATTGAACTCTGCTGCTTCTAGGAAGCAATTTCAGCATTTTATTATCAAGTTACTCATTCTAACATTCCTTTCGTACTCTTCTGGTGGCAAGTTTTAAGGTTTTATAATGTGGTCCACTTGCCCCTGGTGTGGGCAAGTGGTCAACTTTTGAATTAATTTTAATGACTTAATATTCGTAAATTTTAATGTAATGATTTAATGTAATTGGTTTCAGCTGTCTGCAATAAACAAACAAGTGTTTTTGTCGTGTATCGAGAACAGTTTTATCCTTTACTTGGATTAATGATTATGGTTAAAATCAAGAATGTACTGAAGTGGTCCAGTAGCCCCACCTTCCCCTAATACAATGACTCTTTTAGCAATGTGTTCCATGATCATTGACGATATTCCCGGGATCCTTTGTCAGCTTCAATATGTTACAGAGTCCACATTCTTTCTAAATAATTTATCCTGATACGTATACGTATCCAAGGTACGAATGCACTTTTTCCAGTACCTGAAAATGCGGAAATGCTTTGTTCTGTTTAAAGTAGAAAATAGAGTAGGCCTATACCATCTATGTTTGACTTCGTCATTTAATACAAACATACATATACTTCAGAGATATTATCTTGCACAAGTGATGAGACCATGTGGATTTTTTGCTCATGTTCAATAATATTCTGTGACGTCATCAAACCTGAAAAATCCACGTTTCTTATACTTAGAATTGACGTTTTAAGACATTTTCCCCAAAGTTACCATGTAGTTTTATTAACGTCCTTTATTAATTATCGGAACATAGTTCGCTGGGACATTTAAACTTTCGTTTGAATAGACTAGGTTGTTTTCTTTTCCGATTTCAGATGGGCTTCATTCAAGCTGGGGATGAGGAATACTTCATAGAACCTCTTGAGACTGTGACGAGCAGGTCAAAGGCTAATGTGTCAGAAGGACAACTTCACATTATGTACAGATCAAGAGATTTGAAGATGTGGTCTGCAGAACTGCAAACTGATTGTGAGTAACCCTTATGAGACCGAAGGTTTATGTATAGCTCAGGGAATCGGTAATATATCTTAATCCCCTCCCATTCTACCCTCAGGTACTAGTATAAGACGAAGTTTATATTCAATGAATGTTGTTCTAGACACATCTATACATAGTTGTCATCATCATCATCATCATCATCATCATCATCATCATCATCATCATCATCATCATCATCATCATCATCATCATCATCATCATCATCATCGTCATCATCATCACCATCGTCACCATTATCACCATCAGAGGAAAAAAAGGAAGACTTTTTTGACTTTTCAAATGGTTACTTTATCTCGTTCCATTGAAATGAACAAAATAAAGGTCAGTAACAAAAGAGGAAAATATAGAAAGCGATACAATATGAGAAGACAAAATTAACAAAGTTATATAAGATAAACAAGGACAAACATACAGTCAAGTTGACAGCCAAAATGACACAGAAATTTTTACAACCCATTGTAAGAAAATGTACAATAAATGAATCAAACTTACCAAGAACAACATTGTGTATTAAACTCAGAGAGGGTCACTGGAAGGGAGAGGTAGATGGCCCAAGACACGGGGCAGATGGATTCCCATATCTCACCGAGGCGAGCTGCTGCCGCGGACTTACGCCGGGTTGAGAGGGAGAGAAGGACAAGGGGTGGAGTAGGCCGCCGGCGTCTCTGGACGTGGGCAATTCTGCCTGCCAGTGCTGTGGTTACCCCCTTGGAAGGGAAGAAAGAGGGAAGGGGGATAGAATAGTCATCAGATCAGCCTTGTTATCTTTTTTGTTGACAATAGTGAACAGGGACTCGTTGATGTACCATTTATCAAGGAAGAGATTGAGAGAGGAATTTAGACGATAATAGTGATATTCAATGATGATTTTGGATTGAAGACGGTGGGACCAGATTAGGAGGGGATCAGGAAATTTAGAAGTGCGGTTAGACCAGTAAATGACTTTTTCAGGCTGACGATGAGAAAATCCGGGAGTTTAACTGCCTTCCAGCTACGACCCCTGGCGTGGGGATCAGGTTCCAGAAGAGGTCGAAGTTGAGATGGAGGTCGGAAAGCGGGCGGGAGAGCAGAGCGTGAAGAAGGTTGAGTGCAGGTTGGATGGCTGGGCAGAAAATGAAGAGGTGGATGACGGTTCCTTCCTCTCCGCACCATCCGCAACAGCGAGAGATATCTGGGTTGAGATGACTTAGGACAGGGAGAGGAGGAAGAACGTTGCGACATAGTTTAAACTGAATGTCCCCTTCCTTACTGGAAGTTGGAAGCTTGTAGATTTTTGTCCCGGGCATAGAGTGGTCAGAGTTCTTGAAAAATCTGATTCGGTGTCAGTCAGTTGAGGTCGGGAGCGATGAGGAAAGGCGTGAAGGAATCTGGCATGAAGGGGATGGTGTGGAGAGTATCCGAGGAGGTCTGGAGACCAGAGAAGTTGAAGAGAGTCGGGAAGGTAGAGCGGAGTGCGAGTTGGAGACGAAGGAGTTGAATATCGATGAGGCGGAGGAAAGGAGGGGGCAGATTCTTCAAGGGGCGAAGCGAAGATCTTGAGCTTCTAGCCAGCGTCCGGTGGAGGGGTGCAGAAGATGACGAACGATCCCGATCCCTCACGACAGGAGCACAAGCAGAATTCTCATCGTCAGCCAAATGAGCTAAGAGAAAGCTATTGATAGAGAGATTGATAACATGGCTGATCGAATCGGAAGGTTGTTCAATTCATGCTCTGGATGCCGTCCAAGCACGCCTGGAACTCGCAGTAGAATGGAGGAATACTGTGGATCTAGATCTATTCGGAAGAGCTGCAAGTCAAAGTTGAGTTTTTCTAGCGTTGAAGGAAGTGAGATACCAATTTGTAGGCGGGATGAGGACAGAGGTTGAGAAAGCGTTGGAGAGTGGACATTCTGTGGGCGAGCGTGCATGCTTGGAGGCAGGCAAGGGCAAGTCCGCCCCTGTCGGGTATTTGATAAAGAGTGTTTTTTGTGTTTTTTTTTTATAAATTATTTTTTATAAATATCTCTTCCCAGACCAGACAAAATCGACCAGCAGTTCCTGGAGCTCACTCAAGGTATTTTCGGGGGGAGAAATAACAATCAAGACGTGACTGAGTTTAGAAGCTGATAGTTGATTGGCCATGTGAACTTTGCCTTTGAGATTGAGAGCAGAAGAAAGGCGTTTCCATTTAAAGATGTTTTGAATAAATAAGTGTGTCCTTTTTTATTTTATTTCTTTTTACCGACAGTCCAGTTTTGTTGAAAGTAAGCATGAGTGTTTCCTACGCCTTCATTATTCCACTGAAAATTCAGGGGCCGGTCGACACGTCCAGTCCAAGATCCGAACCACAACCCCTGGGATTTTTTAGTGTTTAAACTTGCAGCAGAGGCTCTGCTGCACAGATTGTAGGTCTCACGTACTTTGTTAAAAATGGTGTCAGAGGTGATAAAAATTGAAATGTTGTCACCATATGCCGAAACCGAGCAATAATTTTCAATATTGGGAAGTAGGAATCTGTGACCATTAAATTTTGACGTAGATTGCGGGGAAAAGGCTCAATAGCAATGGTATAAAGAAGCCCCGGCAGCGGGCACCCTTGCCGGAGCGAACCGCACACCTTCACCAGGCTCTCGGCTCCATTATAGAGGACTTTAATATAAGATAAAAAAACATGTCCCAAAAAACCCATGGCTCTCATTGCATTAAAAAGGTAGCTGTGGTTAACATTGTCGAAAGATTTCTTTTGGTCCAAGTTGACATGGGCACATCATTAAAATTACAGTGATTGGTGATGTCTCTGATGAGACAGATATTATCGTAGATGGTCCTACCAGGAACACAGTGGACCACTGCGGTCCTCAGGGACCACAGAACCAATATTGTTTAAGACGGTTAACAAGCAATTTGGCAAAAATGTGTAATCTGTATTTAGGAGTGAGACAGGACGCCAGTTGGCAATGTAACAGAAATCAACTTTTTTAGGGATGAGTGGGACAGAAGGACAGAAGGTGGAAAAGCTCCGGAGCTGTAGGCGGAGGAAAGGACAAAAGAGAAATAGTCTTTGAAAACATTTCAGAAGGACAAATTCGGATGTGAGACCGTCCAGGCCGGGCGTTTTGTTTTTGTCAAGTTAATAGATCTCTGCATCCAGTTCTTTGGGACTGGGTGGAACGTTAAGGTTCTCCAAGTCAGCCGGGTCGAGTTTACTTTAATCATTCAAAATTTGGTCGAGGGCGCCCTCGTCAGTCTGAGATTGATTATAGACATTCTAATAAAAGTCACGGACGTGTATTTTTTTTATTTGAACGGAGTTGTCCGTGACATCACCGGAAGAAAGGCGAATACAAGAAATTGATTTGAATAGAGAGCTACACTTTTCAAGATTGAAGAAGTAAGAAAGCAACTGTCAACCTCGTTGATGCATTGGAAAGAGGCTCTAACGAGGGCACCTCGAGCGAAGACAGAAGATCATCGGTGGTCTGATTAATTCTGAAGATAGTACAACGTTTTTCTTTAGCTATTTTCCTACTTTACATATGAGTATAAGTCTGTATTTAAATTTTCCGAAATCGCACCAGGCGCAGAGGTCAGGGGAAATCGTTTTGTTTGCCCCTCCAGCTATTCCAGAAATCTACGATCAAATCCCTGTAAGCCTGATCGTCCAAAAAAGTGTTGCTGAAATGCCAATAGGCACTTCCTTTACAATCAGACAAAGAAAAGGGAAAGGTTTTACAACTCGAGACAGAAGAAAAAAGAGCACTGGGAATAAAAGCGGTCCAGCCTGACTTTTGAAATGCCATGCTGGTTGAAGGGATCAATTCGGTAACAGGTGTACTTTCTTTCAGAGGGGTTCTGCCTACGCCAGACGTCATACAATGATAATTTGTTAAAAGCACTTTTAAAGCCACAGAAATTTTTGGGCGATGTTCGGTCGGCATATTGAGACCATCTAGTTTTGGATCAAAAGGAAAATCACCCCCAACAATAATGACACCGTCACTGAGGAGGCCACAGTGAATGGAAAAGTTTTGGATCAAAAGGAAAATCACCCCCAACAATAATGACACCGTCACTGAGGAGGCCACAGTGAATGGAAAAGTTGTTGATGGCTTTTAAGGTTTCGGTGTCGGATTAGAACGAGAAAATAGAAAATAACTTCGCCGTATGAAAGATTAGTAAAAGTCAGGCAACCATAAAAAAGAGAAGTAGACTCAAGGACAGTGATATTATTTCTTAAAAGAGTAGTGACCTCCACATCACGCGAGGGGCTGGGATTGCTAAAAAGGGATGTAGTTTGACCAGGAATTCCAGGAGGGATACTGTTCATTTAAATCACAGGTTCTTGAAAAAAAAAAGACATCCGGTTTATTGCAAAGTCTATCGGCATTTCTATAAAGGGAAACATTATTGACAGAAGAGGAACAGCCCCTCGTGTTGAGTGTGAGCAATGGCAGTGTCATTACAAAGAGAAAATGAAAAAGAACAAAATTCATAATAAAGGCAAGAGAGAGTACGTATCAAATTTCTTTATTAGTTTGTAGATCTTCTGCTGCAAGTTTTTATTAAGCAAAGGGCTTAAGTTTTTTTCAGGGGCGTGAGTTGAGCGACCAGTCCTGGAATATTGGTCGTGAACTTCTGTGCAATCAATTCAGGTTTTTGCTGGATTTAACATTGTTCAACAACGTGAGCAGTTCTTCAGGTTTTAGGGAACCTTTGGGGCAAGTGGGAAAACCCGTAGACCCGAGACAGTCTTCGTCGGTCTGCGAGTTTTCCCACCGAGTCCGTGTTGGTGTTGTCAACCACAGAGGCCGGGGTGAAAGGGTGAAGGGTTTGGACATCCAAGGCTTGGGAGGCTGTGGGAGAGGTGGTTTGCATAGGGTAGGAGATTTCACGGGCCATTTTTCGAACAAGTGAAGGGGACTTGAGGGGAATGGGGCGCGGAATGTCGCCGGTTGGAGGAGGAGTTTTTTTTGCGTTTAGTCACTTCAGAA